CGAGGGTTTTGAATGTGTTGGGGGCAGTAACGTCAAATACCAGAACGCAGCAGTCTGCGCCTCTGTAGAAGGCCACACCAAGTGACTGGAACCGTTCCTGGCCTGCTGTGTCCCAGATCTGCGAGAGATAAAACATTATTCCTTGGGGGGGCACAGCACTAGGAGTGGGGGACGCCAGAGGAAACGAGCTGCATTATGGAGCCACCGAGAGACAAGCGACTTCAGATTTCAGAATTCAGGAAGCAGAGTGCAGCACCAGAGTATCCCACACAGCCCTGACAGAGAGTATATGTGACTGCATGTTCTGCAGAGGGCAGACAACGAGTCTGAACTCTGCTAGAAAATGTTTTCATCTTGATCTGGGCGGTGGTTCCATGAATAGATATTTACGTAAAATTCATGATATAAACTTAACATTTATGTACCCTGGGAACTTTCTGGGGGTGATGGAAATACAGGGACGTAATTACACACTGAATTGTACATTTAAATCTATATATTGTACTGTAGATAAAGTTTACCTAAAAAAATCAGAATGTTTTATTTATATTATGACTCAATTAAAAAAAAAAAAAAGGCAAACAAAAACCCCTGAGAGAGAGAGATGAAGGGAAAGACAACAAGGACATAGTTTAGAATAGAGGGGAAAGCCAGCTTTTAATCAAAAGAACACCAGGTACTACTGACTAGCTCAAAGAACTTCATATTGTTCATTGCCATGCTAGGTTCGAGAGCAAGGATGGATTTCCTTACTGCCCTAGATCCCTAACAAGGCCACCGTGGTCAGCCTGAGAGATGGTGAGTGTTCTGAGGAATGGTTCCACAACCCCCAGCAAGTCATCTGGTTTAAGAAAGTGGGGGTCAGAAGCAGCATACCATTACTTCTAGCTGACATGGGTCTTTAACTGTTGGATTCACTGGTTTGCAGGGAACCCACTTAACTTCAGAACAACATAAGAACTTGGACCATCCTTTATAACCCAAATAAATGGCAATTTTATGTCCAAATCACCAGCCAACTACCCCAAAGGCCCAGGGTTTGAACCAAAATGGGAGTGTGGCTTGGGCCACTAGTTTTATCTCCAGAACCAAATTCTGCAGAAGGATGGTTGAGCTCCTTTGTAAAGGCTTTCTCAGGTGGTCAGTCCTGCCTCCCTCCAAGTGATGCAGAACACTTGGGGAACCCGTCAAGTGTCCCTAGGCCATACAAAGATTGAGCTCCCAGTTCAGGTAGGAAGAGCACCCTATAAGACGAGGTTATGATGCTTGATTAGAATAAGTAAATAGGCACAAGAGAAATAACAGGACAGGGCAGTAATCTGGGATTCACATTTCTTTAATACTACCAATGTAATCAAAGCTCATGATGTTCTACTAAATCCCCTAACACCTCCCAAAATATTCTCTGAAAGGAGTCCTAAAACCTGTGCAAATCGAGACAGTTGATTTACTCTTGGGGACCGGCTCAAATGACAGTCCAGCAAACAGGAGTGGAGCCAGAACTTAGATACTGACTGGAGGGCTGGATACAGCAGCATTAGAACCCCCTAGAGAAGGTCCAGTAAAGCAATATGACTACACAACTCTCAACTCTGGCCCACAGACTGGCCAAGAATAACTCAGGCCAACAGCATGCTGGAAGGGGGCTACTGTGGTTACCAATGTCAGGGCTGAGCAAAAGTGCACATTTCAGCTTTGTCAATGAACAGTCCCCAAGAGCCCAAGTGTTACTCCTATGAGGAGGACAGGTCTGAGAAACCCGCCTCAGCCTTTTCTTCCAATGTGCATGACCCTCCATAACCAGTACATGAAAACATGGCTGACAGGACTCTTGGCCACAACTGTGAGAGCAGGGAGCCTGACCTTGGCAGCCCACTCCATCCCCAGGAAACCCCAACCACTACATAAACTATCTATACGCACTTCACTCTGGGAAGAATCTTTCTAAAATAGGACATGCCCTAGCAGTCATGGGAGGTCAGCCTGACTGTAGAGTAGAGGTAGGAGGCTGTCATGAATGTCTGTGTGTGGCATAGGAGTGCTCAGGCCACTGGTAAAAGCAGCAGCCACTCAAATAGAACCAGAAGGAAATGACGATGACTTTGATATAAGGGTGAAGACAAACTCAAAGGCAATTATTTTCCCCGCCTCTCATCAGGTTGGGGAACTAAATGCAACCCCCACTACAACAAACAAAGCACACATATGCAGACAAAATTCAATCTCCAGTGCCAGTGGATACCCAGTAGAGGGACTGCGGGTGATGTCTGCTTTTGTGCTTTTCTGGTTTCCCAATGTCCTACAGTGAGTATGTGTCTCTGAGTGAAAAAATGAACCCTTTCTCGTAACAGGGAGACTGACCGATGGAGGGGGACCCAAGAGCCTGGTCATACAATAAGGAAAGTAGAAACAGACAACTATTTCTATAAAGAGAAAGTAGGAAAAAAACAAAACTTAAATCTAGGCTTGGACAAATTAAAAAAAAAATTTTTTTTTTTTCCATTAGAGAAGTAACACTGTTACTACGTAAACATTTGGGTAAGTAAAGCCAAAGCTAAAAAACCCCCTGAAACACTTGGCACCCTCCCACACAGAGAGCATCTTCATTAACTCATTTGTTATTCTAGGTATCCAGGCTGTGGGGTTTTACGTAGCTGAAATCTCACACCACGCATCACGCCGTGCCCTCCCCATCACTCCTCTCTGCCCAAGTGACACATCACAGTACTCTCTGACAGGAGCTCCCACCTTTACTGCTGCCCAACAAACTCAGCGAACAATTTCACTCTTGTTTTTTTCCACAATTTTAAGGACCTCAGGAATGAATGTTAACTTACAGAGCCTCTTCCATATTTCCGATTGCTTGTTTAGGACAGAATCCCAAGAGGAGAACTCTATGACTTTTTTTTTTTTTTTTTAAAGATTTTATTTATTTGACAGAGAGAGACACAGCGTGAGAGGGAACACAAGCAGTGGGAGTGGGAGAGGAAAAGGAGGCTTCCTGCTGAGCAGGGAGCCCGATGTGGGGCCCGATCCCAGGACCCTGGGATCATGACCTGAGCCGAAGGCATACGCTTAACGGCTGAGCCACCCAGGCACCCCTAAACTCTATGACTCTTGTTGGAACCAAACGGGTACTTGGAACTCATAACAGAGAAGGCAAAGTAAGGCATTAAGAAGTGAAGTTGAAAAACTGCGGTTATTCTTTGCAACTTTAAAAAATTAATTTATCTTCACACCTAGAAACGTAAAGTTCTATGACTGTGATCTCTTAAAATTTTTAATATTTTATAGCACACCCATATATCTATTTACCCATACTCCAATGTGACAAATATTAACACTGCCACAGTAATGTCAGTTTTTTTTGTTTTTGTTTTTTTAAAGAAACAGAGTTAACCCTTCCTCACAGCATTCCCTTTCCTTCCTCCCTAGACGTAAATGGGTCCTGAAGAGTTAACAGTCTACAATGTAATAGTATGATCCTGTACATCTTTTTGCAACTTGCTTTTTTTCCTTTTCCAAAGGTTAACGGCTATATAGCATTCCACTACCTTAATATACACACTCTATTCCCTGGTCATCTCAGCAGCAAGGAGCATTCTTCCTACACTTCTCTTCCTATGCCCAGAGCTAAGTTTCTCTAGGCTCTCTTCCTAGACAGAGAATTGTGCATGCTCAACAATGGAGAGCAAAATGGTAGTCTCTACTGAAAAGGGCTGCATTGATACACTCCCACCATCAACTTGACAATATTCTACTCCCTATATTCCAGCCAAAGCTTGATTTTGTGAGCCTTTTTTCCCCCATGTCTGTACATTTATAGCAACATGCTTTATTAACTTTAAAGTAAAATGTAGGGCGCCTGGTGACTCAGTTGGTTAAATGTCTGCCTTCAGCTCAGGTCATGACTCCGGGATCCTGGGATTGAGCCCAGAGCCAGGCTCCCTGCTCAGTGGGAAGTCTGCTTCTCCCTCTCCTCCTCTCCACCACCCCACCCCAGCTTGTGTTCTCTCTCTCAAATAAAATCTTAAAAAAAAGAACATCTGTGTTATACATTTAAATCACTTTGAAGAACTCTATCTATATCAAGACATATCTATATAAAATGAGGAATATATTAGAATTAAAAGGTTATCTGGGTTTGCATTTTTCTTAAAATGTACATAAATTCTCACTTCCAACTCTAATTTCAGTATGTCATGTCTGAATATTTACTTTCTACATGAGGGACTCTGCTTTTAAAATGTTGTGGTATGACCACCTTTTAGTTCTATTGATGATAAATATATCTAAATAATTTCTTTTTTTTTTTTTTTTAAAGATTTATTTATTTATTTGAGAGAGCGAGAATGAGAGAGAGAGAGTACATGAGAGGGGGTCGGGGTAGAGGGAGAAGCAGGCTCCTTGCTGAGCAGGGAGCCCGATGCGGGACTCGATCCAGGGACTCCAGGATCATGACCTGAGCCGAAGGCAGTCGCTTAACCAACTGAGCCACCCAGGCGCCCCTATCTAAATAATTTCAAACGAGGGGCGCCTGGGTGGCTCAGTCGTTAAGCATCTGCCTTCGGCTCAGGTCATGGTCGCAGGGTCCTGGGATCGAGCCCCACATCGGGCTCCCTGCTCCGTGGGAAGTCTGCTCCTCCCTCTCCCACTCCCCCTGCTTGTGTTCCTGCTCTCACTATTTCTCTCTCTCTGTCAAATAAATAAATAAAATCTTAAAAAAAAAAAAAATTTCAAATGATACTTTATATTGAAATAGGACACTTTTCCCCCCATATCCATGATTTACTTACTTTATAACCAGAAGTTTGTTCCTCCTAATCCCCTTCACCTATTTCTCCCATTTCCCACCCCCACCCCTCTGGCCACCACCAGTTTGTTCTCTGTACTGAGGAGTCTGTTTTTGTGTTGTTGTTTATTCATTTTTTTTAGATTCCACATATAAGAGAAACCATATGGTATTTGTCTCTGTCTGAATGATTTCACTGGGCATAATACTCTCTAGGCCCATCCATGTTGTTGCAAACAGCAAGATCTCACTCTTTATATGGTGAGTACCACATCTTCTTTATCCATTCACCTGTAGATGCTTCCATTTGAAATAAGACACTTACTGAATATTATTATTTTACTTCAAGTCTAATTTTAGTTCTAGAGAAGGTGGTCCTATCTCAAAGGCTTGGACAAGGTTTTCTTTTTCTCTTAGTCCAGGAAGATCACTTTATAGCAAACACTTGAGGTTTCTTAAGTGATGCAGAGCAACGATGCCTCTGTCTGTGATACATCCACATGAAATTATTTCCAACATGCTTTTATGTAAATTTTTAACTTTACAAAGTCTCTCCGAACACTCAGGCTCAATATATGACACTTGCATGACCTTGTTTTTCCAGCATGCTGTTAGCCCTCCATGTGATCAAATCCAATGCTCATGATTTAAGAGCAGTGGCATCAACTGCCTGAATTCTGTTTGTCTAGAGGGCCTGATGAGAGGTTATGTCCTTCTGCCAACTCTCCTGGCCCTGGTAGCACACCACAGCCCCACAGCAAAGCCACTTGGATGCCGCCAGTCAGGGTTGACATCCACTTTATTCAACCAGCCCCAGAAGTATCTGGAGTCACATGACCATGGGAGTTTCTTTAAGCCACCCAACTGCTGGGAAATTTTTCCAAAAGAGCATCTTTTGATAGCATTGAGAGGGAGGGAGGGAGTGATCCCTGTGACTACAGCAGTGTCACCCTGCCCCGTCACCTTTTTAAATTTGTAATTCCCTGAAATCAAGCCACTGGACATTAAAGGTTTCTTCTGATAGTTGCCTGTTGATGTGTGTTGTCCAGTTATCCACGGGGTTGTTGACTGGATACTATTATGCATTATCAACATTTTTTCTGGTCTTTTTATTATTTGGGAATCTTGTTATTCAAATGTTTAATTTAATGTAGTCTACTATTGATCTTTAATCTTCTTTGATTTGTGCTTTCTCTATTTTAAACACCTAAGGTAAAACAATTATTTTAATTTGTAAAGTTTTCATTTTGTACTTTTTTCATTCAGGTCTTGAACCCTCTGGTTACTCCCCACCCAAAATAGAAAACCATGGGCCCACTCCACTGACTGTGTAACTCCCCCTTTCCCTACTCTTTTGGAAGCCGCCTCTCTACTCAGTGTCCAGATAGGTGTGCCCTGCTTGAGTGCCCCCTGTTCCCTTGATCCGCATGTCTCTGAGAATATCACACTGTTTAAATTACCATGGCTTCATAGTAAGTTAACTTTAAATTTTTCTCGCATACTTGATTCCATCTAATGTTTAATATTGATGAATTTCTACCTTCTTCCTGAGCAATATAAGGTATCCACAACAACCACTAATCTTCCCTAACACATTAAATTATATAGGTCTAATCCTGGTTTTCTGTGATAGTTTGGAAGTTACATGCTCTTACTATTAGGGTCATAATTCTAACAATAAATATATGCATACAATTAAAGTTTATCTCAGTTTATCTTATCTCAGACCTTTCTAAATGGAATCACTTTCTTTCTGCCTGAAGTACATCTTTTAGAATTTTTGCCATAGAACCTAAGGATGTACGCTTTCATTCTTCCAGGATATTTTTAGCAGGGACAGAACACAGTGCTGAAGGTTTCTTTCAGAATATATTCCGCCTGTTGATTTCCACTGTTACTGTTGAGAGTCAACTGTCAGTCTCATTCCTGTTCCTTTTTAGGGTCATCTTTTTCCTCCAGATGCTTTCGAGTTTGTCTTTTGTTTTTGCAATTTCATTATAGTATGTCGAGATTTCTTTTTTATTTATCCATCTTGGAATTTGGGCTTCCTGAATCTGTAGACTAGTGCCACATCAATCCTGGAAAATTCTCGACAAATATCATCTTTGATCTATTCTCTTTCTTTTGAGATTAAAAGGAAGTCTGACCTATCTACTGAATCCTGTTTGTACTTCTCTTTCCTATCATTCTTCCTTTCAGCCCTCTTCTGGCATGTCCTATCTGCTGCTAAAAACATTCTTGGATTCCCACCTTTTGGTTATTATATTTCATTTTTAGAAATTCTATTAACCTACACCACCTGTTTAGTTTCTTCTCTCCAGATACATAAGATTGCCTTATTTCTTTAAATATAAAAACCACTCTGAATGATCAGGGAGCTTTCCATTGGTTCCTGCCTTGTTTTCTTGTTTGGATTATCTTATTGTACGCTGCTAAAAGCCCGTGAAAAATATGAGGATTCCTCAAGATCTAGGATGATGATGCCTCTGTCCAGAGATCATGGTTTTCATTTACTTCTAGTCTTTCAAGCTGGCTGCAATAGCATGAGGGCCAGCCTTTTCTTTCAACCCTTCAGAACACCTTCTTTGCCCTGCTGTTTCCAGACTCCAGTGACCTGAGATTCTCCAGCTGGAGTTCACTCGAGCAGTGCAGCTCTGCAGGGTCCCAGCTTAGTAGGGTACATGGAGCTCTACGATAACAGCCCCACACCCAGAAGGAGCTGGGTTCTGACTTTGGAATCAGCCCGCACTGCTATTGAAGCCATAGCCTGGCTCTATAGCTGTTTTCTCCTGGTACAGGAAGCAGCTTTTAGTCTGGCTGGTGCACATGTAAAATCTGCAGGTAGTACTTTACACCAGCAGCCTGAAGGCATTCCATTCCCTTCTGCCTCCTGTCGGCCCCGAGAACTCCTCTGTTAACCTTTGTAAGTAATCCTTTTCTCTCTAGTTGCTCTTATAATTTTGCTTTTGGTGTTCTGCAATTTTGAGTCTTCTGGGTAATTTGCTCAGTTCTCAAAGCTTACTGTTTTCTTCAGCTGTGTTTAATCTGTAGGTTAACTGTTCATTTGGTTTATCACAATGACCATGTTTTCACTTCTTCAAGTTCTAAGTTCTCCAGATCCTCATTTTTTTATAGTATCCTTTTTCATTATGGTTTCGATTCCTTTTTTAAAAATCTCCAGTCATTGTGAACATTTTTTGTGGTACATTATTTCCTCATGTGGCTATGAGCTCACCTTCTGTCCTGAGGTTGCAAGTCTTCCTATAGAATGGTCTTATCTCTGCTTTTGTCAGGAATGACAGGGATTTATGGGTTTATGTCAACATTCCTGTCCCATGTAGAGTATAAGCTCAGAACCCAGACATGAGCATAGTGGGATTGAGAGTCTCCAACAAGAAAGCAAAGAGGCAAAGCCTCAAGCCTACTTCATTCATGAGCTTTGCCACTTCCTTGGGTTGAGGGTATTTGGTCCTGTTTTCTCGTATTTCCAAGGTCCCGGGTGAGTGTGAGACTGAGTGAGTGAGTGAGTGAGTGAGAGAGAGAGAGAGAGAGAGAGAGAGAGAGAG